AATTCCAACGAAAATTGCATATTCCAACAGAAATCCTTACAGTAAAAAACCGTTAGAAATAGAGTCGTTGGATTCATCAAATTTCATCTAATATTCCAATGGAAAATACATTCTAACGGAATAATTTCGTTGGAATCATTCCAACGTAAGTTATACCATTGGAAAATATCCGTTGGAATTTCCATTGGAATATATTACCATAGGATTTTCCGTTGGAATATAACATTTTTTTGGTAGTGTATGTAATAGAATTTTTTTAAATAACTTTATATATTTTTATATTTAATGTCATACTTTAAAAAATTAAAATTATAATATTCGTAAAATAAAAATATAATTTTGTTAGAACAATATCATTGTCATCTAATCATTAAACCATGTGTCGATTACAGTTAGGCCTAGTTTTAAGCTGTTAAATGAAATGAGCTGCTCATGAGCTCGACTCGACTCAACTTGACTCGTTAAGGCTTGAGTTCGGCTCGGCTCGGGTCGTTCGATCTCAAGCTCGCTTAAAGCTCGTTTTGTTAATGAGTCGGGCTCAATATGGCTTAAAAAGTGAATTTTCATATAATTTTCTATAGTTCAGCTAGTTAAAAGTCGAGATCCGCTTGAACTCGACTCCTTAATATTGATAAACAAACCGAGCTAGCGCTTGATTTTTGGCACATTAACTGGACGAGCCTAGCCGGCTCGACTCGTTAAAAGCTCGAGCTCAACTAAGTTCGAGCTTGGTTAGGTTCGTTTAGAGGATTTCTTCATTTTGTGAAGCTGGAGTCAAACTATATTGGTTTCAAACTATTAATTTAATCTGAGCATAAATACAATAATATGTGTAATTTTAACCTCATCCCACAATTCATGTTTACCATATATTTTTCTCTATATTCTCTCCATATATAAAAATGGAGAATTTTCGAGTCTATTTCTAATGCTTCAAAGTAATTCATAACTGATTAAACTTTTAAAATTCTAAAATACTGCTATTACTCAAATTTAAAATAGATTTTAAATTTAATAATTTTTTTATGTTATTATTTTTTGTATATGTTATATAAATTTAATTATTTTTTAACGATCTTTTATCTGACATCTATATTGCATATAAAAGATAAAAATAAATATATCTGCCTTTATGAATAAAATTAAATTATTTATCAGTCCAACTAAAAATGATAAATTTATTATTTAACAACTAAATATATTTATTTATCAAGACAATTATATGATGAGTTAGGAAAAAATACAGTAAATATAGAACAAGTGAGTCATTTTAATGATATATGTTATTATAAATAAAAATAATCATAATTAAAAATATTTAAAAACTTAAATAAAAAACATCTAATTTTCCTTTTAATTTTTTTAAAAATATAAATTTCCTAATTAACATCCGTATTTATAGCACGGTGTTGATGCTACTAGTACTTTTTTATAGTAATGTGATGCTTGGGATCCCGTGTTTGTACGAACCTTATCTATTTGTGAGATTACTTATTGTCGTTCCGACAAAAAAAAAAATAAAAAAAATTTCGTGATACTCCACCTCTTAGGCCATCTCCACCTATGATCTCTACTCTAGCGCGGACTATACTCTACTCTAGACTAGAGTTAAACATTCATTTCCACTCCTTATCTCTACTTTACTCTACATCAAATATATTATTTTTTTATTTATTTTTTATTTCAAATAAATTGGTATATATATGTATATTTAATCTTATATAAATATTTATTAATCAAATAATAAAAATATATTTTATTTATTTTTATTTCAAATGAATTGGTATATATATGTATATTTAATTTTATAAAAAATATTTATTACTCAAATAATAAAAATATAGTTTATTTATTTTTATTTTAAATAAATTGTTATATATATGAATATGTAATCTTATATAAATGCTTATTACCCAAATAATAAAAAAATATTTATGCATAACTACACGAGACTGTTTCATAAGTTCAAACAATAGGATACAAATTACATAATACAATGAAAAAAATAAAAACAACGATTACAATAACAATATAGCTAATTTTCTGAATTAGAAAATTTCTCCCATAAATGCTCAATCAATGCATTACTAAGGGCGATATGAACTTCTCTATCCCGAATTTGTCTGTATCGAGCAACAAATGCTTGGAACTGAGAAGCTTCATTAACCACCATTTCAACATCTAGGATTGGGACCTCTATCGCAGCTTCGATCGGTGCAGAAAGATCTCGTTCATCCTCAATTATCATATTATGCAAACCAATACATGCAGTCATTATATCTTATGAGTCATTTTTACTCCAAAATCGGGCAGGATTAGCCACAATAGCAAATCGACTTTTGAGTACTCCAAATGCACGCTCTAGATCCTTTCTGCATGCTTTTTGTTTCATTGCAAAGTATTTTTTTTTTTTTTACTACGTGGGTCACGAATAGTTTAGACAAGAGTTGCCCATTTGGGATATATATTATCTGCTAAATAATACATCATGTTGTACTCTTTTTCTTGGATGACATAATGTGCGGGAGGGGCAATTCCTCGAGTAAGGTCAGAAAATAAATGAGACCTCTCTAACACATTAATATTAACACATTAACAAAACCTATTGTTATGTTACAATTTCCATTCACATTTTCTAACACAAGTAAAAAGAATAACTTAAAGGAAATAGAAGATTATATGTAACCATTGTAGCTTAATAGAGAACTATAAGTTAATTTATGGTTTTTTTAATTCAAATAGTATAGTTTGGTAAACCAAGATTTTATAAAAGTTCGTACATATCTTAAATGTCTCTCTTACATTACGTGTTAAAAAATATATTGAGATTTTTATTTCAGCTAATTTATCATCTAGTTTATCAAACACTTTTATTACTGAGTGTTTGGTGCTCACAATGATCTAAATTATAACTTATTTGATTACCTTATAAATTTCTTATATTGTTATTTTTTTTTTTTCAAATGCTCGTGCTTATTTCAATGGTTTGTTTACGTAGCGTTAAAAAAAATATTTAGATTTTTGCTTTAATTGATATATTTGTTCAAAAACTTAGCAAGTAATTTTTTAGCTTAATATATTAAACATACCATACATCAGTTAGTTTTTTTAGACATCAATCACAAGCTATCAGTTAATAGCTCAAAATTAACTTAGAAGATCTCAATTAACTTATCAGTTATTCAGTAACATTTAAGCAAGATTTATGTGAACTTAATTAAGCTAATTATATCATAGGCAAATTCAGAAACTAAAGAATAAATATGTTGAAGATAACTAGGCAGCATGTCTAAGTTGTTAGATTGGCCAAACCGTTAGACAGTTGTTCACTATTAATATCTATATAAATAAAAATAATATTTTATAAGATAAATATACATTTTTTATAGACAAAAAAAGGTAAATCGACTCATAGTACATTTGCAACACATCACACAAACATTTATGTGTTAATATGAATGTGTTGGTTTTAGTGTCAATAATTATGCTAGAGTTATAATCCAAAACCTACAGTTGTTCAGGACAAAACGGACTGAGGCCAAAAATACAAAATTTTGAAAAATAGTTTTTTTTGACAAAGTATAAAGGGCAATCCCATTTATTGAACTTTTACAAATAAAGTAAAATAAGACATTAGAATTAATAAAAGATGGGGAAGAAATTAAAGTGGGGGAAAAAGTTGTTGCACTACCACTACCATTTTAGTGAAAATTTTCTCGTCAAAATATATGACAAATATATATATATATATATATATATATCAGATAACTGAAACAAACTTGAGGTTTTGATGTCGCCAAATTTAAATTCTTTAACAAACTTGTATATGTGCGGATTTGCTAATTCAGAAATATGTACAACTTATATGTGTATAATTGAAAAAAAAAAAATCCATGCTCAAATTATAATTTTTTAGCAAAAATATTATTAATTAGATGAAATGATCCAATTGGTAGAAATGATTTATAAATGAGATTGATTGGTGGCAAATAGTACCTAATAATTAAGTAAAACTAATATAACATTTGACATGAATTATAATTTTATTGTCAAATTAAAGATTACAACTCCTTATAAATATGCTAGCAATTCACCTGACATCCAGGACAAAAATCTGGAAGACATGATGATACATTGAAAACACTTGGCAGGTTCTTTTTAATTTTAACTGAAGAAATCACTGCAGATGAGGATTTGTCAAAAAATAAAAAAAATAAAATAAAAAAAAAAAATTAAGTGTACTAATGTCAAAATCATTTCTTGGAACTACTAAAGCAGGCCCTGATTTTGTACTATTACGCTAGGCAAATAACGTGAGCATGTAAAGAAAAACAAGACAAACGAAATGAAAGATGGCAGGTAAAACCATTAATTCAGATGTGAAAAGTTCTTGACATACCAATGCAATTCTTGTGACATTAATTCCTTGTCAAATATTGTGACAACATATTGCTGTAAATTGGCATATTAATGAACCAATTTTACAATTTGTAAAATTTAGAGTCTATGATAAATTTGTTAACTAGTTTAAAAATTTGCAGAACTTAGATTTTTTTGTTACAATATCCACTTACAACACGAGAAGTAAAAAGGAGGGTTTCCTCAGCACATCTTGCTGGGATGATTTTATAAAAATAACACAATTATTTCATTTTAATCAAGTTTCTTTTAAGCACTTTTAAATTATCCAAGAAATATTCAATATAGAAGAGCCACCAAAACAAACACAAAAAACCAAGTATAAAATACTTCAATTAGACCAAACGGAACAAACTATTTCATTAAATAGTCAAAACATTCCATACATTTTTTTGCTGGTAATACAAACTTCAAACACAACATGAACTATATTACTAAAACAACCCTTTAAAAAAGCAAGCGGGTGGAAACAAATCCATCTCAGCCATTTCTTGCCTTTNACACTACTACTTAATAGTTAATACTACTAATTACTAACATCCCCTTGTTACCTAACTTCATTAAATTTATGGAACCATATTATATATATATATATATATATTTCTTTAAATTTTTTTAGCAATTTAACAACATTTTCACCGGAATTGAGCTCCGCTGTACGTCTGGCCAAAAGACCAGCCGGCAGGGGCTGCATTGTAGGAGATGAGCTTTCGGCCATCGCCTGTCGTGACTTTAAACGAGAGGCTCTGACCGTTGAGAAATGCATTGCTTTGCCAATTTTGCCCCCAATTGCGGGACATTGGCTGCCAACCGGTCCTCGACCCTTTTATCGAGACCGAGTGCACGTCTCCAGACCCCCCAACATTGGTCACGAGGACGAGGTTGAAGTAAGAATGGCCGTTGATTGTGAATCTAATGCCACCCCTTCTTCTGCAGGCAACCCTACCAAAAAAAAAATAAAAAAAAAAATGAATTTAGTAATTATTAGTGAAATTGAAATATGAGTAGAGTTTGAAATTAGTGTGAATGCAGCAAATTGGTTTGACAGTGACTTGTAACAAGTTGATTGGGAATTATGGAACCACAAGTAGAAAAATTCAGTTTTTGTTCCTCATGTATGATATATTTATATTATACTTAACTACAGTCTACAGAGGTATTATCTTTTTTCTGGTAATAGGTAAACACTCCAGTGTAATTTTGCATTTTTTGTGGAGTTGAAGGGTCAATTTGCTGAAGCTAAAGGGTTGGTATAACAGTTTCAAGATTCCAGGAGGACCCTACTGAAAATTATCTTCAATCAAATACACACCCACAAAAGTATCATGTAATTGTGGTTTAGCTGTTTTACCTTCTTCTCTACTTGGGTGAAAATTATAGCATAAAAATAACACCAAGGTACACAACTGTCCACAATCAAAATGCCTGTGATTTAATGACATCAATTACACAACTAAAAGCAGTTAATAAAGAAGAGATCCATAAACAATAAATAATTTTACTGTTTTGCCACCATGCCATAACCAGATTTAATATAACAAATAAATTTTTAGTTACTCAAAGTACCCAAAACAATCTTATTTGATATACTAACTAAAAATTCAATCCTTTATCCTTTCTTTTAGCCAACTGGAGTAATAAAAATTGATTCTTTTTCATCTTGTTTGTTACCTTCTGTAAGCAACAGGGACAATCCCAGCCCTGTACTGCGCAATGCGCTGGAAAACGGGCTGAGACAGGTCAAAGTGGCGGAGGGGTGGGTTGCACCACCCGCCGGCGTTGTTGGGCAGGGCGTTGTTCGGCGGGCAGAAATTGGTCGCCGTCACCAGAATCGACCCGGGGAGGCACGACTTGCCGGCGCCGGCGCACCGGATCTCGTAGCAGGACCCGCAGCTCAGCCCGTTGTTGAAGAGGGCTGTGCTCAGCGCCGCCGTGTTGGTACCGTAGCCCTGGCTGTACAGATTGCCGTACCCGCACGCGCCGCCTGCTCAAGAATTCACAGAAAATTAACATTGTGACAAGGCAAAATGCAAACTTCAAGATGGGTTTTTTTTTTTGGTTTAATTTGAGATTAATTATTTTATTTTGTTTTGTTTGTTTTTGGGCGTACCCATAGTTCCAGAGGCATCGCTGCCTCCGTAGAAGGTTGCATGAGCATTAGTCCAACCGCCGCCATAGCCGTGAGCTCCACACAAAATCGAAAGAAAAACAACCAAGAAAACCCCAACAAAATCCATTTTAGTAACTCACCCACGAGCTCCCTCTAAAAACAAAGTTAATCTTGAGATAGAGAGAGAAAAAACAGGGAGAAGTGAAAAAGATGAGTGAGGACTGAGGAGAATGGGAGGGAGCGTGGTTGATATAAATAGAGAGTGTTTGGGGGCACAAAACTAACTGAAAATTTTTACGAGTGTTCAGCTGCTGGGGACCATAAACTGTATTTGTAGGGTTTTATAAATTTAAAGACTACCAAACAGGTCCTAGCAGGTGGGGCAGGTGGGTAAAAGGGTAAATGCAGTACATGTTTTGTTGATTTTTGTCTATTTACATGTTATTCTGTAGTGTGTTAAATTAATTTTATTTAAGTGATTTTACTGTTTTTGTAAATTATTCGGTTTATATAGGTTAAAATATGTCAATTGGTAGCATGTGCAAAGCAGAAACACCAATTGCCGCGAAAGCCCCATTTGGCCAAGTCGCAATTTTGTATAAATGTTGATGGCAAATTTCATTATGTTTTTGTGAATATGAAAATGAAATCTTCTTTTAACTGTTCATTTTGTTTTTGCTTTCCGTTGGGGACATTTTTTTTTTTACAAACCATACCACTAGTAATATTTAACAGAGACCACATCTCCGAACATCACCAAAGAGAGGAGATAAAAAAGACGGAGGCAATCCTTTCAAAAGAAAAGTCCCGTCAACGATCTAATCCTACTAGCTAGACAATGGGCAACAGAATTCAGATTTCTATCAATGTGGCAACAAGACCTACAGTCTAAGAGAAACAAAAGAGATAAGATGCCCGCAAAAACATGATGCAAAGGGTCGTTTGGCGACATATCTAACAAACCACAAACAACCACAAGAGCGTTTGTCTTGGCATATTGAATCGAAAATCCCGCATCTAGCGCAAAGTGGAGGCCAAATCTGAGGGCTAGGGCTTCGGCTGTAACTGATGAAAAAGTGCCTGGAATATGAGTTTCAAAAGCAGCCCAACACACACCTTCCGAGTCGCTTATCCATCCGCCTAATCCGATTCTCGAATCATGGACCGCCGCATCGCAGAATAAAGTGAGACCGTTATTGCATTTTCCTGGACTGAACCACCTGTCGACTGATGGTTGATGCAATGAATGATCTACCATGATTCGCCCCGACCGAACTATCTCGGCCTCTTCTCGCCATGCATTCCCAAATGTCCATGCTTGCTCTGCCGTTCGGCCTTTCAACCCATGATTAATACGATTTTGTTCATGCCAAATAATCCACAAAAAATGAACAAATAATGGAAAGTCATCCCACAATCACTACCCAGAATCTCACAGAAGATAGACCCAAAACTCGATCCACGTAACCGGGCGAATGTATCCCACCAACCTGCTAATTTTCAGAACTTTTTAACCCAGAAACAATAAAAAAAAAAACGTGAACATTAGATTCCCAACAAGAACATCTACGCCATTTTGCGTCCACCTAATATGTCGCTAGGCCAGATTTTTTGCTCTCGGAATTGCCAAATTACTCACATTCCATAAAAATATTTTAATCTTCGGTAAAATATTCATTTTTCACAAGGCTTTCCACCACCAGTCTTGAAAAGAAGAAGAAGCTTTCAAGTCACCAAATTGTCGTTGCGAAATCAGATGGTAGCCACACTTCACAGTGTAATCACCCTTTTTTGAAAAGTGCCAAATGAATTGATCAGGAGTGCTTGTTAGGCTCAGAGGAATAGAAAGAATTTCCCGCGAGTCCCTTGGCTAAAAAACTCGAGTGATTAAATCTTGATTCCAATCCTCATTCCTTCCAATCAAGTCACCGACTCGATCAATACCCGCCGAAGGGTGAGAAATAGGCCGAAAGCTATGAAAATGGGGGATCCAAGGGTCCGAGAAGACCCTCACTGAATTACCATTACCTATTCTCCAACGCATACCTGCCAGAACAACTTCACGACCCCATACGATGCTTCTCCAAATGAAAGAACAACCCAGTCGAACTCTAGCTTCTATGAAATTGCAATCCAGAAAGTACTTGGCTTTTAGCACTCTTGATACCAGGGTGTTCGGTAAAGTTAGCACTCTCCAAGCTTGTTTCTCTAGTATTGCTTGATTAAACATCAAAAAATCTCGAAATCCCAAACCGCCTTGTTGTTTTGACAAAGTTGACCTGTTCCATTTGACCCAAGACAGCTTTCTTTCCCCTTCCCGAGACCACCACCAAACTTGAGCAACAATTTTCTTCAATTGGTCACAAATCAACTTTGGAATTCGAAACAGGCTCATGATGTAGGTGGGGATGGATTGCACCACTGCTTTAATTAAGAATTCATGCCCCGCCGATGAAAAGAAATTAGGTCACCAAGAATGGAGACGCTTCCAAAACTTTTTCCCGAATAGCCGCAAAAGTCCGACTCTTGTCTCGGTCAATCATAGAAGAGAGGCCAAGATAGGTGTTATGAGGGGAAGGGAAGCTGATGCCAAACCTCGAACACAGCGCAAGCCTCACATTCGAAGGTGTGTTAGGGGAAAATGATATCACTGTTTTTTCCAAATTGAATTTTTTTCTTGAAGTCTCTTCATAGGTTCTCAATATATTGACAATTGTAGCAGTCTCTCCCACAGTATCCTTTGAAAATATGATTGAGTCGTCTGCAAAGAATAGATGAGAAATCCTGAAACCAGTAATTTTTCTGTCTACTTCCACTTTGTGAAGAGCTGTTGATAACCCTTCTGCACAGAGAATAAAGAGATATGAAGATAAAGAGCAACCCTGTCGCAGTCCACGAGAGGGTCTGACATGACCAATAAGGTTACCGTTTAGCCGAAAAGTGAAATTCACAGTCGAAATACACTGCCAAATCAAACGACGGAAGCAGGGAGGGAACCCTTTCTTTAATAACATCGAAGCAACAAAATTGCACTCTATACGATCGTATGCTTTACTCATATCCAATTTTAAAGCTATCCAGTGAGAATTCTCTGTGCGCACGCCAATGACCTGCAGTGCTCGACACGCAAACTGCACGCAAGCGCCCGAGCACACAATAAATTACTATTAAATCAATATAAGATCTTTGAAAATATATCTAATAAATTTACGGTCAAAATTTCAATTTAAACCAATTTGTAGTTAATGAGTAATAGTCATTGAGTGTATAAAAATTAATTATGTTTTTTCATTCATAAGGTTCGCCAATAAATAAATACTAATTAAATAACAAACTAGTACAGAGCCCGTGCGATGCACGGGGTGCACAATTTTAAGGCTATTTATCCAGGCTTATAATTATATAAATGAATAAATAAAAATGTACGGGATATATATAGTACGTGACCCGTGCGAAGCACAAGATATATTTATTTGGAGAATATTATATTATAAGATGCAATATTCAATAAAAGTTTATAATACGCAAGAAAATTGTACAAATGTTCAGTAAAAGTTTTATAATATTCAAGCGGAGTTTTAAAGTCTCTTGTACATTAAGACTACTGACAAAATAATATTTTAATCAATGAGTTTCCTTTTCTTGTAGCCAAATTGTGAATGTGGTTTGAGGAGTACAACAAATCGATATATAGCTGACTTGCTTTTTTCATTGTAATTTTTTTTTTTTTATAATGACTTTAAAGATATTCTAAAATATAGCAAAAATTATTTTTCTTTATTACAATTAGGAATTTTACTAAATGTAAACTCTCAATCTATGGTGTTAATAAGTGTTTAAGTCTAAATAATTAGGGATTTTTACCTCTTTTAATCAACGTTTAAGTCTAAAAAAATAGAGTTATTATAAGTTTTTTTTCTACATCTTTTAAAACATTAAATATGAGCATGTTAGGGCTAGCATGTAAAATAATTAATATATTATCTCACTAAAATATTTATACTAATAAAAATTTAATTTTAGCATATAAATTTATCCCTTGATATAAGAGAAAGTAACAGTTTTACTTATTGTTGTTCACCATATAATATTTAGTTATTATTTTATTATATAATAAAAAAGAAATATTGTTAAATAGTGTAGTAGAATTGTTATAAAATTATATGATTTTTTTTTACAATATGAATTTAATATTTTTTTATGATTTGATACTATAAACAACTCTATACTTAACTTTGACAAATAAAACAAATAAATACTTTAGTAAGTATTTAATGTATATACTAAATAGGAATATATTTGGTATAATCAAATACCAAATATAATCAAATAAGTCAAAGTGTACATTTTTATTTGGTATTTGATTTTTTTATTATTAAAATCTTTTTATTATACTTACCTTTTTAAAATAAAACAAATAAATAAATTAATTAAATAAAAAAATATTATAATACCAAAATAGTAATGACATTTAATGCAGTTGACTTTTCTGGATAGTAAATGTTGGAAATAGAATCTTTTTTTATATAAGTATAAATTGTCTAATACGGAAATAGTAATAAAATAAATGTTGTTGACTTTTCTTTATACTAAATCTGATAAATTGCATATCTTTTAATATAAATATAGATAAAACGAAAAAATTTCTCACTCAAAATCATAATTATCATATCAATTATGTTAATAAGGATTGTTCCATATAGATATCACCACCGTAGGTTTTTTAATGTCATACTTCCATAATCTTCCCGCCCCTTTTTTTGACCGCAAAAAATGTTAAATTGGGCATAAAGTCATAACTTTCCCCCAAATCTTTTGGTAATTTGATCCATTTTCGCCTCTTTGCATATAATATAGAAATTGTGTTTGTCTACCGTAATTATCGGCATAACTATGGGAGAGAGACTTGGATGCATTTATCCTCGTTACTAGTGGAAACATGAAAATAAAAACAATAACTATACTACGAAAACATTATTATTTTCATAGTATGATTTTTCAATTAAAAATATGCATACAATAGCCTTAATAATTTTATTTGTACATAATTATTTCTGTATATGTTTTACTTAAAGTTTGTACACAGCCTTTTTATGCGCTGAGCCACAATCTCCAGTCTATTTAGTATCAAAGTGTTACTGTCCACTTGAACAACTTATGTCGTTACAATTTATTTATTTTTATTTACGAAACGGTAGTAATAATATATTACTACAACTATACTTGGTGCTATTATAAATTTTGGAATTAGGTATTAGAAGAAACTAAA